GGGCAGACTTTTTACTTATGACATCATAAACACTGTTTCTCCTAGAGTTACACTGAGTATTTCACTTGGCATCCTGAGTAAACTAAAGATCTAGACCGCAACTTATCTGACCCTTATGGTTTAGGCAAGTTTAGTTAGACATTTCAAGATAACAAAAAGAAAAAGAATGAGAGAATCACAGAATAGGTCAGGTTGGAAGAGACCACAGTGGGTCATGTGGTCCAACCTCCCTGCTCAAGCAGGGTCATCCTAGAGCAAGTTACTCAGGATTGTGTCCAGATGGCTTTTGAATATCTCAAGGGAAAGAGACTGCACAACCTCTCTGAGCAACCTGTTCCAGTGCGTGGTCACTCACACAATAAAGGTGTTCTTCCTCACGTGCAGAACGCAAATTAGGAGACTTGCGGTACAAAATCCACTAGAACCTCCAACCGGAATTGCAAACCTTCTGTTCTTTGTAAGAGATGGGTAGGTTGCAGAGAATGATCTTGTCTTGCTGGTTTTGCTTCAGACTGGAAATATTTTATATGATGTTAAAGCCAAGATGGCTAATGTATTAAAGGTTTATATTTAGAATAGGAATGATCTTCCAGAACAGCGTTCTCATGAGATTTCTTGCTAAACATGTTCCTACTCCTCCATTGCCACCCCCAACCTTTTCTTCTGGTATTTTTCCAATTCACAATATGAATTCTTCAGTACTTGTTGTCAAATGCTAAAATAGTTTTTATAAGGGACTTTAGCTGAAGTGACTAGAAATTCTAAGTGATACAGAGTGCTATAATCATTAGTTTTACTCCTAGAGTTAAAAATATCCCTATTTATAGGGGTTTTATTTTCTCTGCTTCAATATGGGGAATATGTTTCAAAGTTACAAAAGCTTAAGGCATCAGTTCAGACAGTCTTTACTTAAATTCAGTGTTTGATAAAGAGTTCTGTTATTGATGTACTAATAATACAAGTCATGTTTTTTGGGCAACTGATTTATTTTTTCCCTTTAAACAGAGGTAAGTCAAACCTGATACTAATTTATCAAGTTTGAAGACAAGGAGGCAGTGTAATAAGGGTACTGAGCTGACAGCAACCACTCCATTCCTGCTGTTGCTGCAGCACGTGATGCTGTATGTTTGCATGGCCTCTCCTTCCTTTTACATCATAGGTGTGCCCACCTCTCATAAAACTGCATCAAAACCAACTTTACTGAATAAATACAGCCATAAAATTATGTTTATGTATTCATTAGTCAACACTGTTATTTATGCAGACCATATTGTAACTATTCATTTATGTGTGCAAGTTAAAAATGACTAATACCGTTAATTCAGTTAGAACACATATGTCAATTTAGTGAAATACTGATTTTTTTCTAAACTATAGCAAAGACACCAGGTCTAGATTTACTGCACCAGATTGTTGTTTTCGGGACAGCAGGGATAAGCATTCAGTATCAGTCTCAGTACAAAGAGACAAACAGGAAGAGCATTTAGTTTCATATGAGAGAATTTAATCATCCTCTGAGAAGGAGAACTGTTGAAGGGCATCACATATTTGTCTTTGTTCTGGCATGTCTGTTCAGAATGTTGGAGCCATAAGGTGTGGAGAGCATCAGCAGGGCTTGTAGATTAGCAGAGTGTTACAGGCTCTGGGGTAGGAAAAAATGAAACATCTTTAAAATCAGAGGAATTTGGCTCAGAATGTTATTTCAGTGTTTGGACAAATGCATATTTTATGCAATTTTTCCTATTAGCATAACTAGCTCTGCAGGACCTTCAGCGACTGATGAAGGATTTCTCATAAGTTACTTGTTCAGAAAATTTGATATTCCTCTTTCATTCCTTTGATGGAATTCAGTTATTCAGAATTGATAAAGCTGTAACCCACTCCCTCCCCAGCGCAGACACAAATTAAATTCCTTCTTGGCAGGATTCAGTAATGTTAGCAAGCATTCCTTGTGTACAGTTTCCATGTATTGATTTGAAGGATATTAGGTAATGTCAAAGGCAATTAAGACTGGTTCAGATATATGTTAAGGCCTTACTTTCTACTCCCTGCATGGGCTCTCATTTTTATGTTATGCTTTCTCTCCAGACTAAGGGTCTTGAACAGTTCACAAAAATGTTCTTTGGAAAAAAAGGTAGATGTGTTATTTCACCAATGTTGAAAATCTTACTACTAGTTTAAGGAAGGCTCCTGCCTTTCATGTATTTATTGGAAGAACTTCACATCTGGAAGGAGGTAACTTTTGAAAGATGAACATGAATTCTGCTGCTGCCATGAATAATTAGGGTCTTTGGCTAATTCTAATCCTTTGGAAAATGTCACATAGTTATTAGAGAACTGTTGAAATTAAGCAAATCCTCATTCCATTTCACTTTAAAGGAGGACCTCCCCTGCAATTGCTTTGTCAACTCGCTTTTTGCTACTCTGTCTCGGAACTAAGAGCAGAGATCTTGTCTTTCTGGAGTGCTTAAGTATCCTGTCAGACATTTCAGCACTGGTAAGGAAGCAGTCTTGATGAACTCCCAGAAGATAAAAGTTGAATTTGGAGTAGTTAAGGGAGTGGGAGGCAGTAGATGGACCAGGCTGAGAGTATAAACTAGCAAGAAGATAAGGGAAAGACAGGCTAATGGGAAAGAACTGTGCGGTAGAGGGGCGGAGGAAGCTGGAGCAATAGAGCAGAAAAGCACAGCTTAGGAATTGAGAGGTGCAGTGATATCTGTGCTCACAGAATCGGTCCGCTAACCCTGCAGATAATGCAAAAACTCACAGATACCCTGATGACAAACACTCTTCTATTAGCTAGCAAGTTATCACTAACATGCAGAGTCAAAATGTGTGTTGTGCCTCTGTGGTAACCAAACCATGGGACAGAACAGTTACTGAGATCACTCAGTTCAGGTGAGTGATCTGAGCTGCAAATCTTAAGCCTCAGTTTTGCCAGTGGCCATGAGGGACATGGGTGTGATACTGTGTAATTCTGATACTGGCTGGCAAGTGAATAGTAGAAGCAAAGCGCTACAAAGTGTCATGCTCTGAGGAGTCTTATTTTGCTATTTAGGAACATTTCTGTATTGCATATTAATCTATGCTTTTGTAATTAAACATGGAGATTATAGCCTGACAGGAACCTTAAAAACTTCAACAGGGATGAATGTAAAGTTGTGTACTAAGGAAGGAATAAGCCCTGGAAATTATATAGGTTGGGACCTATTCAGCTGAAGATGACCTAAGACAGGCAGTGGAATAGGTTGCCCAGAGAGGCTGGGCCATCTCTGTCCTTGGAGGTTTTCAAGACTTGATCAGATGAAGCCCTGGGCAACAAATCTGACCTTGACTTGGCACTGCTTTGAGCAGGAGGTCAGACTAGAGACCTCCTGAGGTCCCTTTCGACATAAACTTTTCTATGATCCTGTGATAATGTAGTTAAAATTTATTCAACCAGGTCCTACAAAAGAAGGTGGGAACTGCTGGAAGTAAAATGAGATTATTGTCAGTGGGTTTGTGAACTATCACATTCCTGGTATCTGAAAATAAGACTTCATTAACAAAATGTCACTTGCCTTTATTATTGCAAAGGTAACCTTTTGAAAGTGAACTGACCATGCAGTAATGGAGTCATTTCATTTGGAATCTGCAGATAATCTGAAATAATAATGCATAAGACTATGAAATGCTTCTATTAATCTCTGTGGGATATTAGCAGTAAAGCCCAATGATAGCAATTTGTATATAAGCATTCTTAATAATTCAGTATGACTTAAGCTTCAAAAAAGAGAGAGTCAGATGTATTATTAAAAATACTTAATCTATGAATGACAGTTCTCTCCTATAATTAATGTAATGGCTTTTACTCTAGCAGGCACTCAGTAATATGTTACACTCAAAACTATACATTGTAACAATAATATATGAATCCTAAAACTATGAACCACCTTGGCTGAGAGCGTATCATCACCTTGTTGGTGGATTTATGGTGATTTAGCCTCTCACTTCGGGGACTACTGGTCTTTTAAAGACTTGTCCTTTAGGTTTATACAGTTGAGGTAATTATTTGGGAGTTGAGGGGACTCATTAGCAGTCCCTTCTCATCTCTGATGCCATTCCATAAATTAGCCATTGGAAATTTCTTTCGGTGCCTTCAAATTCTTTCATTATCTAGCACAAAAGGTCTTTTCCCATAAAATCAAGTGCTCCAAGACCTGCTAATGTAAGGACATCCTGAACTTGTGAATCTATTAAATCTGTTTTCACAATCTATTTTCACGATTGGATGTTGTTTGGTTTTGAGTGCTGTCTGTTGCTCACCAGATGAACTCCGTTATTATTTGTCTAATGACTGAATTTTTCTGGTCCCTTCATAGAGGTCCTCACAAAGTAAAAAGCCATCTTAAGTGAAGAAATCCCAAATCATGTTTGTGCTTTGACCTATGATCATAGTTGAAAAATGATAGCTTTGAAAATCAGCATCTGAGTATCTCTTGTACAAAAGCAGCACCACCATCTATCCTCTTGTGATGACTCTGTGTGAAATTGGGATCAGACTGTATTACAGTCATATTGTCCAACAAATATGCATGGTAAAGACATTCTTTACTGTTCAAAAGTACCAAATCTGAACAGTGATAGCTGTAGCATTCTGAAACTTAATCTGTCAAAGAAAGCGAGGCCCTTACAGTCTTTTGTAAAACATCTTTCTCCACGGGTTTTACAAACACACTATCATGATCTGCTTGTGGGTACTGTGGGATACAGCCCACGAAACCAGTTCATGTAAAAACTTCTTCTAGGAAGTGTTATTAAGCTTGAAGTACCTTACGTGACCCATCAACAAATACATTTAAAAGGAATAGCCCCTGGCTGAAGATGAGAGGAGAGACTACAAACCAATTTTTAATCAATCTGTACATAATTTATTTTCCATTTCTTACTGACTTTCTACTTTATTGGCAGTTTATCTCATGGTCCAGCTTTCTGACTAATTTTTGCTGTTGCATTCCCAGGTTACAGGTGTGTGCCACGGAGTAAGAACGGCAGTCCCTTCTGGAAATGGCTTGGGAATACCTCCTTGTATGGAGGAAGCAGGAGCATTTGTGAGATTTTGAAGACAGAAGAGTGAAAGATGAGGTGCTAAATCTGAGACTGTGGCTGTTAAAATGAGCTGCTGAACACCAGAGAGCAAGGATTACTGCATTGCCTAACAGACTGCTGCAGAACCTCTGAGATTTTTATTTCCAGTAATAAAAAAAGAAATCCATGTGCGTCTCAACATGTGGATGTAATGCTGTTTATTTGCGGAAAAGAAGTGTTAAAATAACAATTTTTGAAAGCAACAGTTTTTCCTAAAGGAAAAAAAAATACTTCTTATACATAAATTCTACATCCTATACTCTGTATTTTTCTAGTTTCTTATTCCAGATCCCTTCAGAGGATAATGCTGCATCCTCAGCTCCCACACCCTCCATCCTGGTCTCTGTGATAAACATTATTTCAAAGGAGCACAGCTGGGTGCTGGACTGTAATTTCTCATGCATCCAGGATCAGATCCATTAGTTTATGTGAAGGTTAGGACCACGACCATGGAAGTATATGGCGAGCTAATAGATAGACTGGTGTTCCTGCTGTGTTCACAGGGGCTTAAACCAGGGAGAAAATGGTCAGGCACATCCATATTATTTTCGCCTTTTGCTTCATGATTTGCAGTAGTCTCATTCATAAATGACAAAGGAACCTCACCCTGCTGTGAGGTCCTCATACCACAGAGAGCTGTAATGAGTTTGTAACAAGATGGAGATAAGGAAGACTTTTTAGTGATTACTCAGACAAATCTCTGAGTACAAATCAGAGATGTACTGAGTGAAGGGTATATCTTTCCATCACTCTCCATCACTTAAACGTCTGAGGATACTTAAGGTATTCTCATGGTGTTATGTAAGAAGAACTCAGTAAGACAAAAGTGTCCTAAATGCATCTTTATAGATTTTTTCCTTTCACTGTATGTCAGAAACTTTTGTAATTTGACAGCCACTGGCAATGATTAATGGCTAGCAATATGGCCAGGGGCAATGCATGTTTCAAAATCAGTACCAGGAAAGACTCTGTGATCTTTGGCTGTGGAACTGTCTCGCAAAATGAAAAATAAGTGTTTTGCCTGTGTGTTCGATAAAGAGCTCCAAATACATAGCTGGAATGTAGGTGAGAGACAGTGAAAAACAGCAGAATATTTACCTTGGAGTGTGATGCTAAACGGACATTTAATGGTTGTTTCCACTTCTGTCTTTCATGATAGCTAGAGTATATTTATATTTTTCATAGATGTGCATATGTGTGCAGGTGTATACATATAAGTGCATCAGAATGAAATGTTTTATTTTCATTTTCTTAGAAGCATCAGTTTTTCTGTACTGAATCTTAACATAGGCAATATATATCCAGATACCGAGGTAACTGTGACAAAATAAATAAATATTTCCAAGCACGACTCCTGTACCTCATTTGCTACTCTTTTCAAAATGTGTGGTTATGAATAAACCATTTACTTCCACAAACATATGCTCTGCAGGATTTCAGATGCAAAAAAATTAAAAGGTCAGAGAATTACAATGGGTTTACTGCACCCTTTTATGACGCAAAGCTCATTACTACTTGCTATGTTCTGTCCTTCTTAATTAAAGCATCAGTTCACACGTACAGTCTGGAGCAGCTCAATTATGAAAGGTTAGATCCATCAGTTTATTCCTGATTGGTTTATTAATTACTGATCTTGATTCTTGATTCAAATCAGCACTCTTTCCTCAGGATAAAAGTACATATTATGTTAAAAATAATATACCATAGTTTTAAACAAGAAGATATTGTAAACATTTCAAAAGAAAGCTTCCACTGGACTTGGCTTTGATCGAATTACCATGTACCATGAAGTCTGACTTTAACAGGTAACCACTGGCAAATTTCTACATAGTTTTGTTACTGAACCGCCTTCAATCCATACAAGGATAGAACAAATGCTGTGAGCTGAAACTCTTTTTCAGTTTTGTAAGAAAGTTTCAAATATATAGCTTTCATCTCTGGTTTTCAAAATATTTTTAAATGGGACTTCTGATGGTTCTGTGGCATTTTCTCCTGAAAAGTTTTCGCTTGCAAACCTCCTGTATTGCGTCAGCTGATGCGCTCCAAAGAAGTGGAAAAACTTTTGATAGTAAATCTAAAACAGATCTCTTGCATAAATGGCTAATATGTGTCTGGAGACACTGTGGATGCTGTTAAAGACAAGGTGCAAAGGCAGGAACTTATCCTTCACTCCTTGTTTTAAATGTGTGCTTCAGCAATTTGGGTACTGCATATACCTGAAAGCCAGCAAGAGCACTCTCCCAGTTGATGGCATTTAAGAAAGGCTTGTCTTTATTTACTCCAACAGTAAATGTCTTTTTCACCTAGTGGGAAAGGGTGGACTGATTTCACTTTGCTGAGCTACTCTGCAGCGGTTCATGAGATCTTGGGCTGGGTCCCTGTCCCCTCTCCATCAGAGGATGGACGCTCCAGGGCTGGCCTCTCCCCGACCTGGGGCGCTTTTCATCGGATTTACCTGACCCTGAAAGGAAAAACAGTAATTAAACCCCGTCCACCAAAGCACTTCAAGTTTAGGCATACAATTATCTCCTCAGGATTTGGCCTGAACTGATCCCAGCCTACGCTCCTTCCTCTCACGCCGTCGTGACAGGATTTCAGTCAGAAACACGCGGCGCTGGCAGCAGCCGCTGCCCGAGCGGCAGCAGAAGCCCCTCGCCAGCCCCGCACTGCCGAGCCCCGACCCCCCGCCGCACCTCCACGGAGGGAACCCGCCCCTCGGGGCCGCCCACCGCGGCTCCTCGGCGGGGCGGGAGCGCGGCGGAGGGGCCGGGCGGGGCGTCCCGGCCGCGGGGCGTTGCGGGGGTCTGGGCGGGCTCGGCGGAGCGGCAGCGGCTGCGGGGGCGCGGCGGCCGCCCGGCCCCGCGGCGTGTGCGGTGCTGCCCGGGCACTGCGCCGCGCCCGCATCTCGGGGGGTCGCCGCTCTCCCGGTGAAGTGGAGGTGAAGGGGGGCGCGGAGGGCTCTCCCCGCCATGGCCTTCACGTTCGCCGCCTTCTGCTACATGCTGTCGCTGGTGCTCTGCGCCGCCCTCATCTTCTTCGCCATCTGGCATGTGAGTACCCCAGCCCCGCATTCCCCCTCCCTCCGGTTAAAGCGGGCTCCAGCCCTGGGTGTGGAGGGTCGTGCCACGAGGGCAGCGGGGCGGCGGGACAGGCTGGGGCTGGGGCTGGGGCTGGGGCTGGGGCTGGGGCCGGGGCGAGCAGCCCCTCGCCCGGGGACCCGGGGAGATGCGTCCCGCGGTGGGAGCGGGCGCGTCCCGCGCTTCCCCCGCCTGTGGCCCCGGTGCCAGGACGGACAGACCGCGCCGTGACACCTGTGCGTGGGTGCCGGTGTACATTGTTAGTACATTTTTATAAGCATAAAGACCGGTGGCCGCGCGTCTGTGACAGCTTGGTCCCCGCTCCCGGGAAGCGCTCGAAGGCTGAGCGCTGCCCCAGCCCTGCGCTGAGGGCTGAGTTTAGGGATGCTCGTGGCTCCAGCACCGGCTGTGCTCAGACGTGAGGTCTTCCAGGTAAGAACATCTGTTTTCCTTGCCTGCGAATAGAGCGTATTGAGGGAGAAACCGCCCCATACCTGATGCAGCAGTAAGGTTACTTTTCTTTTAGTAATTACTATATGAATAACTTCTTGAAAGGTCGGGGTTGAATGTAAAACTCTCTCATCCTTCTAATGCGTGAGCTGGATATTGAAGTCCACCTTCATTAATTTCACTGAAAAGTGTTGGTGCTGACTCCTTGCTGTACACTGGGTGGCTGTGGTAGGCATAAGCATGTAACTTGGTGTTTATTTCCTCAGTAGTGAAATTATTATTAAGCATAATTTTGAAATTCTCTTAAACTGCTACGTATGTTGGAATTATTTACACTGCATGCGTGCTACACAAATAACTCCATGTCATAGACATTCAGGATGGAACAGGATAAGCTGAAAAATAGAGCAAGTCTCAGGAATACATCTGCAACTACCTGATGGAGTAAGATAAAAAAATCCTCCTTTACTAACAAGCAAGGGAGATGCAGAATATATTTTAATTGAAATGAGAGTAAAACTGCTAGCTTAGTTGTATTAGCACTATGAAACAGATTCTTCTGTTGTGAGCATGCCTTGACATTTAATTATTTTGTACTCTTAATGCGGCAGTTACAACTTTTTTTTCTTATTAATGAAACCACGAAAGTGTGGTGGTAATGCCAAGTACTGTAGGGATGTCAAGGACTGTAAGGCTGAAAAGAATTTCTAGCAGTCAGCTACTGCATTACTCTGAAACAAAGGAGTGGTAAGATTTGGATGATTACTCATGTTTTCTTTCCTCCTCTTCCACAAATCCTTAGATCCCCAAAAGTGAGAATTCTACAGCTTCTTCAAAGGTTTTAGGGTTAATAGGGTATTCTGCTCTGAATCTCTAGCTAAAATTAAAATGTTTTCATTATTGTAACAATTTTAATAATTGTTTTATATATTTGAAGCCAAATATTGTGTTCTCTTTTTCCTGGACTGAAGTTGTTGTTGTCTGAAGATATACAGTACTTCAAGAAAATCTGGCAAATTATTCTTCCATAAGTGAGTGTAATTACTGCAAATTTACTCCTAGTGAAACAATTTTTCAACTTGCAGTCTATAAACTCATGAAGAGCAGTCTCTTAGTACTGGAGCTCCGTAAGGCAACCAAGAAATAAAACCTTTTGTCAATATGCTTAAGTTTATGCAGCGTGTTTCTTACATCTGTTGAGAAATTGTTGAGGAATTGAAATTGAAAATGGCTGTAAATGCTGTTCTATTGTCATAGTGCAAGAATTGGTACCATCTTTTCTTATAAATAGATAATAATTCTATTAAAATACACGGTTTGAGAAGGAAGGTCATAGAGTAATAGATTCAACACCCTGCCAGAATAAACTTTTAGGCATATGTGTTATCCACATATACAAAACACAAGGAATTTTATTATCCTTTCTATAAGAATTGTTATCATGTGGTTTCTTGTGTACATTATGTATTGAGTCATAGGAGTTTCTTTTACCTTAAATATCTCAATTGTAAAAATGTTCCCAAGAAACAAAACTCCTACTCCTTCCTTGTGGCTTGATTATTTTTTTTTCACTGTAATATACTTGTAAGGGACAGTAAATTTATTGTAAATAGGTTCTCCTAAGGGCAGTGGAGGATTTCAGTAATTAAATTTTCCTGTTAAAATGCTTTTTGGTTTTTTGGTTGTAAAGAATAGGCTGCTGATTAGTCTGAGCATCCCATCACTTTCAAAGATTTCTGAGGTTCTAAGACTGAGTAAGAACTTATATTTTGTAAATTATTTTAAACTATAAGAAAAAAACCTGTAGCATTTGGACTTGATATTGTTCTAACCTGAAGCTGACTGAGGTTTGGGCAGTTATCTGGAATGAATTAACAGTGGATCAAATAAAATTTCATTTTCTTTCTGCTGGCAAGCCAGATGAATTATAATTTTCATTACTATTGATCTAATAGGTTCAATAGTAACTATAAAACCAAAACAAGAGAGTAAAATGAGGATTTCTTTTTTTGGACACTGTGCTTTTCTGATACCTTTCTTCTAAGAAGTTAAAGACTCTGTACATTCCTGTGCTCCCTGCTCTTTGGGAACAGACAAAATGAAGCTGGTCAGAACGTTTTAAAGGAATTGTAAATAAAATACACAAAATCCTTTAGACATCTGGAACACGTAATAATTTTTTTCCTGCCTCTGAGTGATCTTCTTGTATAGATAGCCAGTGGTGTCTGTCATAATAAAAAAAAAAACAAACAAAACAAAAACAAAAAACAAAAAACCCCCAAACCAAGTTAGATACTATCAGAAACATTTGTTTAAACTCTGCACATAAGAATTATATTAATGTATTCTTGCTGAAACTTTACTCATACATATCAAATGAAAGAAAAGAGATGAAGACTATATCTCCATGTAGTACAAAGTACCAGCATGATTCCCTGTGATTCAGGAGTTGCTTAAGCATGGAGGTTGTTCAATGACCACAGTACCTCAAGCTGTAATGTCATAGTGTTAGAAACATCATGTAGAAGGGGATGTTTTCATAACACTTTTGTGGAAAAGTACTGGAGAATTTAGTAGAGGATGGTGACCTTTCTGCTTGGTTTCTTGATTTGAGGATAAATACATGGCTCTTGCTGTAGAAACACAGTTACAGTAGTGCTTTGTTTTACTAGCTGCAGTGTCATTGAAATGTGGTTTGGCCAAGGTGTCCTCTCAAATGGACTAATGCAGCTGAGCATGTTTTGGTGTGTTTAATGATACAACTAACAGAATTTGGTTTATTGACTACATGATTTGATATCCTCATCTGATCTTGTTGTAAACTCAGGAACAGTGTATGGTCTTCTTACCAACCATCACAGACACTTAGTTTTGCTGTCCCCAGCTCTTGTTCTTGCTTATATAAAGCTTTTTACTAATCACTTTTATTCCATTCCTAAACTGTCTTGAACTAAGATTTATCCTCTTAACATCTAACTGAGCTATGTCAAGTCTGTTTGAAGTCCCAACAACACTTGACATACCGCAATCGTTTCTAGTGTAGCTCCACTAAGTTGTGTCTGAAGTGAAGTTAACTAAAGCTGACCAAATTGTGGCTTATTTTTCCTCACTTAAAACATGGTAAGCTTGTGTGAAGTCCCACAGCACTATTATTTGCTTAAAACATATTGGTTTGGGGTCATCTGAGTCCTTACATTTTTTGTGATATTTTAAGATGAAAATACTTGCTTTGAAATGTGTTACTTAAAGGACAGCCTTAAGAAAAGAGCTTTTCAAAGTGTTCGATTTTATAATACCACAGTAAAACAAGTCATAAATCCCAAGAACATTACTGTTTTAAAAAAGAAGAATTTCTGTGGTGGGCTATCTCTTTTTCAAGTCATACAAGCATATCTTTGCATGTGTGTGACTGCTTCATAACCAATGCTCCTTAAGGGTTGCCAGAAAGTAGGAGTATCATGCCAGTGAAAAAACTGATGGTGCCAGCCTGAGAAGCTGTACCATATTGAATGCTTTTTGGAGTATTTTGATATGATTGTGAACTCAGATGAATCCAGGAAAAGCTCTTTGGCACAACCAGAGTTGTGTGCGCTGAAGTTGATGGCAGTTACTTGAGCCAAGTGTAAGAAGAATAAAGCAGCAGAGCATGGAGCTTTTTTGTTTTATGCCCCGCCCCCCCCTTATTTCTCTTTTGAAGTGTGAGGATAGTATTAATCCTGATAAACTACCTTAATGTGACTTTGGCTTCACTTAACAGGTACCAGTTCACAGGTATACTTAAAAGCAGTGGGAGGCAGTGACTGAACAGAGTAATATATAGGCTAAAATTGACTTGTAGTTTTAAGTCAAAGCATCCTTTTTTTTTTTTGCAAACACCAGGGAAAGAAGCCCTTGGAATCTATATTCAGTGTTGTTTCTGATAATGGCTTTCTGTATTACGCTTCTCAGACAGCTTGAATTATCCATGCCTTTTTTTCTCATTTACTAAGTGTGAGTAATGGAACTAAACTGTCACTTTATTTAACATCTATTCCTAAAATGTCTTTGCCTTTTGACAGAAGGTGCTATTTACATATAACATGTTGCCACTTCTGTTATTTTTCACTGTACTGTCCTGGTGATGTGGACTGTATTTTATTAGTACTTAAGATTCAACAGCTTAGGTAAAAAATTCTGAAGCTCTCCAAGTTACATGTGGAATTTGGTGAATATTTGGTATCTGATTTACTTAGGCATCCTCATGAAATTCCTAGCCTAATTTTGAAGTTGCATAAAAAGTACACAAGAGGATCCTTTAAGTCTTGGATTGATAACAAATTCAGTTGAGCAAAATGCTTTGGTCACAAACTGTGTGCTGGTCTATCAATGTTCTCTGTTTCTTACTGTTTCTGTAACTTAGATTTGGAGGATAGATCCCTGCCTTACCTGAAACCAGCAAAGAGATCTATGAGCTCACTTGAACCTGTGCTTCTCTCCACAAAAGGCTCCCAGTCTCAATTTAACTTCTTTGCAATGCTTTAAAG